GGCTTTCAAGGCTGACCTTTCAGAAGCAGATCACCAGGCCTTTCTTCTGAGATGCCTCTGGCTGGATTTAAACTGCCAACCTTTTGGTTAGTAGTTGAGCTAAACGTTTGTGCCACCAGGGACTGCTGTTTCAGATCAGGACCAGCGAAAACAAGAAACAGCCCCTGTGCTTCCAGGAAACAGCAGCATATCATCAGCCCCTGTCTAAGAGGGTGGTGGCCCCTTTGGGCAGGGGGGGCCCAGGCAGCAGTGAGGGCTGCAGAGCTCCAAGGCTCTGGGTCCCGCCCAGCCCAATGCCCAGCTGGCCCAGAGGGCAGGGGAGCAGCCCTGAGCAGCTTGTGTGGACACAGCCCTGACCTGGGCCCTGGAAGGTACTCACGTCCCTGCCCTCAGGGAGTTCTGGGAGATGAGGGGACTGAACCCTAGAGTCACAGCTACCATTACATACAGGCCACCAGGGCCTGCCTGAGCCTCGCACTGCAAAGGAACGGACAAGATGCTGCCAGATGCAGGGGCTGTCCAGGAGGGCTTCCCCCAGAGGGGATGATGGAGCCAATGGGAAAGGTGGGCAAAGATTAGAATCCACTCATTCGCTTATTCATTCATTTCTTCAACAAACATCTGTATTAAATTCCAGACACTGCTGAGGCACTGAGGGTGCAGAGATGACATAATCCCTACCTTCCAGACACTCGCCACCTAGCAGAGAAAAAGACATGCTCATAAACAATCACAGATCCTTTAAATAAGGGCCATATCCAAATCTGTACAAGTCAATCCATGAGCAGAGGGGAGGGGGCTGGTGACGTGGATCTGGATCCTGTGTGAGGGGTGGGGGCTGCAGGCAGACACCAGGCAGAGGAACAAGTACAGAGGGAAAGAGAAGTAAAACAGGGACCGGACCCTCATCTCACCTGGCTGAGGAGGTGGGTGCCTAGGGGAGAGGGAGATGAGAGAGGACATCTGGGCCAGACTCACAGGGCTGTGAATGCTCAGCTGTGTGGCGTGGGGGCCAGCGGAGAAAGTGAGCAGGAGGGACATGATCATATGAACTGCAGAAAAGAGGACAGGATGGGGCTGGTGGGAAGAGGGCACACAGCAGGGTGGGGAGACAGGACAGGGAGGTCCAGTTGTCGAGGGGGAGCAGTGTCAGGAGGAGCAGGGCCTCCCTCAGTGCTTGAAATGAGGCCAGGTCTTAATGATGTTGTACAGAGCCTTCCCAGGAGACAAGGTGTTGACCACATCACTGTGCCCAACCAGGAGGTAGTCCGTAACCAGGTAGCCCTCATCGACAGCACACTGTATCAGGTTCTGGGCGGCTTCTAGGGCTGCGTTGTTCGGTACCCTTTCTGTGGAACACATTTATCCATCAATCATCAGGATCTCGAGGTTCTTTGCTTTGGGCAGAGACAGTGCTTAGATTCCAGTCTTCCTCCTCCTGCCCCCCCACCACCACCATAGCCAGTGTCATAGGTTGAGTTGTATCCCCCAAAAATATCTGTCAACTTGGCTAGGTCATGATTCCCAGTATTGTATGATTGTCTACCATTTTGTAATCTGAGGTGATTTCCCTATGTGTTATAAATCCTATCACTATGATGTAATAAGATGGACTGGTGGCAGTCATATTGATGAAATCTATGAGATTAGATGATGTCTTCAGCTCATCTTTTTTGAGATATACAAGAGAGAAGTGAGCAGAGAGACATGGGGACCTCCTACCACCAAGAAAGCAGCACCGGGAGTGGAGCACGTCTTTTGGACCTGAGGTTCCTGCACTGAGAAGCTCCTTGCCCAAGGGAAGACTGATGACAAGGACCTTCCTCCAGAGCTGACAGAGAGAGAAAGACTTCTCCTAGAACTGATGCCCTGAATTTGGACTTGTAGCCTACTAGACTGAGAGAGAATAAACTTCTTTTTGTTAAAGCCATTCTCCTGTGGTATTTCTGTTACAGCAGCACTGGATGACTAAGACAGCCAGTAATTTACATTAATTTTGGCAACCAGGCACAAAGAGAAAACAGGGTCATTGTGTTCCCTGATTTCTCCTTGCCAAAGTTTCTTCCAGAAAGTTAAAAATTGCTCTGGAAGAGAGCTGCGGACAATGCAATATCGTTGTATCCGTAGGTGTGAGAGCGTCGGCAGGCACTCCCAAAGTCAATCCAGCATCACTATATTGCCCACTGTTTTTCCATAACAGATGATGGTGCTCCCTAGCATAGTTGCCATGGTTACTGTTGTGGATTGGGTTGTGTCCCCCAAAAATATATGTCAACGTGGCTAGGCCATGATTCCCAGTATGGTGTGGTTGTCCTCCATTTTGTGATCTGATGCAATTATCCTGTGTGTTGCAAATTCTAACCTCTATGATGTTCATGAGGCAAAATTAGAGGCAGTTATGTTAATGAGGCAAGACACAATCTAAAGGATTAGGTTGTACCTTCAGTCAATCTCTTTTGAGATAAAAGAGAGAAGTGAGCAGAGAGGAGGAGGACTTCATTACCACCAAGCAAGAAGAGCCAAGAGTGGAGCATGTCCTTTGGATCCAGCATCCCTACACTGAGAAGCTCCTACACCAGCAGAAGATTGATGACAAGGACCTTCTCCCAGAGCCAATAGAGAGAGAAAGCCTTCCCCTGGAGTTGTTGCCCTGAATTCGGATTTCTAGCTTCCTAAACTGTGAAAAAATAAATTTCTGTTTGTTAAAGCCATCCACTTGTGGTATTTCTGTTATAGCAGCACAACATAACTAAGACAGTTACCAAGAGGATGCATTTTCAGAGTCATAAAAGCACCAAGGTTTACAAAGACTTTTGTGTTTCTCTCTTGCTCCATGTTAGCCTTTGGTGTGGATAGAAAGAAAGATGATGCTGGGTATGACAGTGGGTGGATTTGAGGTGAATGTTCTGTCTGGGAGGGACTCCTGGAGACACTTATCATGTATTGAGAGTTCAGTTTAAAATTAAAATGATCCACAGACGCATCTTAGAATGTTCCCCAGACACTGGCAGGCACTGCAGTGCTGCCTTTTTCTCCATGTTTCCCACATATTCCACATGATATTTCATCACCCA